TACCAGAAGACCACCGAGTTGCTGATCCGCAAGGTGCCCTTCCAGCGCTTGGTACGTGAGATGGCCCAGGACTTCAAGACTGACCTGCGCTTCCAGAGCTCGGCCGTGATGGCGCTGCAGGAGGCCTGCGAGTCCTACCTCGTGGGGCTATTCGAAGACACCAACCTGTGCACCATCCACGCCAAGCGGGTGACCATCATGCCGAAAGATATCCAGCTGGCTCGTCGCATTCGTGGAGAGCGTTCTTAGACTCCACAGGCTCCTGATTGTTGCACAATCTTTAACCCAAAGGCTCTTTTCAGAGCCACCCACCAAGTCTGAGAAAGTGGTTGTAACCTTGTGTGTAGATTTGATCCCATGCCGGCTCTGTGGAGATCAGAACAATCTGACTGGAAAGTCCAGTGAGCTAGTCAGGCTTAGCTGCGGACCCTTACCCGTTTAAGCTGTTTGGTCCACAATTGCATGGTGTGCTGACTGGAAGTCTGCATTAACTCTTCCAGTTAACTTCCATTATAAGTCCTGCAAATCTTTGGTTTAAAAGGCTGGCTACTCCTGTGTGTTAAAAGTTAGCCTTTCTCCTACGATGGAAAGCACAGTGAACTGTGTTTTATTAAACTCTAGTCTGTTAAAAAACAAAACAAAAAACCCACTGGGACATAACTGGGAACATCCCTGGGAGTATGGGACTCACAGCAGGAATCTGGCCTCTACCTGAGAGTAGCTTACAGGAGGTGGCTTCAGTCTGGGTCAAGGAATAAAGGTCTTGTAGATCCCTGAGGTCTCTTGCCGGTACAGGAAGTCAATGCTCAAAACAGAGTCTAAAGCCATGCTCACACAGCCAAAGCTTCCCCTGCATGCGACTAAGTTCCTCCAACTCCTGCTTGTGGTGGTCTGTTTTGTGGGCCATCGGTAGAAATGTAGGACAAAGGCTATAAACACAAGTCCCCAAGGTACTGTGATTGCCATGATTGCTGGGGTGGTCAGGCTGTGATGTGGCTATAGAAGCAGAGGATGGTGTGAGGTTGGAAGCTAAACTAGGGGAGACAGTCACAGTTAGCACCAGGGGCATAGGTACTACAGGAGCTGTTTTGCCTATGGGTGTCCTAGTGGGCACACACTTGGCCCAACCCACCAGAACAACTCTGGCAAGGAAGAGAAAGGTGCCCAGGACAGTGGAGAAGCCCCAGGCCATCTCCACATATTGGTGGAGTCGTTGGTGTGGTGGACTGGTAGACAGATTTGAGATGTTGCTTATGGCTCCAATAGGGGGCAGAAGACATGTGGAGACTCTAAGTGCAAGAAGGTACCCAGCTACTAACACAGTAGTGCAGGCCCTCCAGGTCACTAGCAGGCCTGGTAGGTATTTATGATTGTTCTCCTGCTGTGTCTCCACCACGGCCACCATGGTAAAGTCCAGCAGCAGAGCAGATGTGCGACTTAGCCTGGTTGAGGTAAACGTTATGTCAGTTGAGCCCTAGCAGAGAGCGCTGACTGCCCCTCCCATAAGGTCCAGGTAACCCCAGTGCACAGACTCCTGGTACATGGCGGAGCCTACCGGCTGTCTACCTCCAGATTCATCAGGACCTGTTTGCCCGTGTTCCCCTCAATGTCCTTCATTCTGAGAGTGACTCCACAACCGACAACAACCACCAGGCCACAAAGGAGCAAGGCACCTTGGGTCCCCAAAAAGAGCAGACCGAAGCCACAGCAGGACTCCATCTTCCATGGCCCAGCAGCCCCAGCCAAAAAAAAATATATTTTGACTGTATAAAAAATACTACAGAGCCAGGTGGTGGTGATGCACACATTTAATCACAGCACTCGGGAAGGCCGAGGAAGGCAGATCTCTGTGAGTTCAAGGCCAGCCTGATCCACAGAGTGAGTTTCAGGTTAGCCAGAGCTACACAGAGAACTACTGTCTCAAACAACAAAGAAAACAAAAAAACTACAGAAAAAATATTGTGTGGTAGAATATTATTTTAAGGTGTGTGACTTTTGTTTATGCTGTATTTGTTTAACTCTGTGAAGCTGTGGTTCTTTGCCTGTCTAAAACACCTGATGTCTAATAAAGAGCCTAACAGCCGGCCAATAAAGAAGCAGGAGCAAGGATAGGCGGGCCTGGCAGGCAGAGACTATAAATAGGAGAACTGAGGAAAGGAAGCAGCAAGGAATGAACAGGGTCGGGAGGATGTCAGGGACTGCCCAGCCACCTAGCCAGCCATGGAGTAAGAAGGAAAGTAAGATATACAGAAGTAAGAAAGATAAAAACCCAGAGGGAAAAGGTTAATTTAAGATAAGAAGAATTGGCAAGCAACAAGCCAAGCAAAGATTGGGCATTCCTAATTAAGACTAAGCTTCCATGTGTGATTATTTGGGAGCTGGGTGGCAGGCCCCACAAAAAGCCAAAAGAGTGAAACATCACACTGAAATCTTGAAAACACTAGGAATG